TCTGTCAAAGGTAAATGCTCCTTGGGTAAAACTTTCCCACACTGAAAACAATTTGGTTTTTGGCTGTATCAATACACTGGGAGATGTTGTGATCAAGCTTACTGTGGATGAGTCCCTTGGTTTTGTTGTGGAGGGTAGTTTCAAGGAAATACCCGAGGAACATCCAATTTACAAAGAGTTTAAGCGAACAATTTCGAAAAAGAAAATTAATGTAATTTTAGAAAGAATTTCACAATGGAAGCCATGCCAGGGCATTGAAGACTCAGCTGAAAAGGTCTATGGGCTAAAGCTTTCTTCCTCTGGAAAGACATCAAAAGTGGTTTTGGTTAATGGCAAAAAAGGCATAGAACATGTACATAATTTGCATAGCAGCAACTGTTCTGTTCTTTGTGAAACAAGCCCTTGTAGGCCATGTACTCTTGCTGCTAAAGACCTCGCAAGAAAACAAAAGGTTGAAGACAAACAGAGATTTAAACCTCTTGCTACAAAAGCCCCATTTACAAAAGTTGCAAAAAATCGACTAGTTTTAGCGATTCGCACACTAAGGGATAAAGAGAAAAAACTGGAAGAGAAAATAAAAGTGCTTGAAGCAGAAATTGCATCAAAAGGAATAGATCTGGAAACTGAAGTGCATAAGGATTTCAGACAAATCCTTGAAAGTGGCGTGAAAGAATTCCCTGATAATTCTTTTCAAAATTTGTTTTGGAAGGAGCAGAAAAAGGCTTTTGAGCATTCCAACCAGGGGCAGAGATGGCACCCAATGATGATAAGGTTTGCTTTACATCTACATCTGCGATCCCCAGCAGCATACAAAGCCTTGAAAGAAAGCTCTGTCATCAAGCTCCCATCAGAAAGAACATTGAGGGATTATTCTAGCCTTTTTCATCCCAGAGCAGGTTTCAATAGAGAGGTTTATGCAGATTTGAAACATCAGGCTGCTAAACTTGAAGGAATCGGAAAGTATGTTGTGTTGATGCTAGATGAGCTATCTGTACAAGATGATCTTGTATACAACAACAGTACCAATAAACTGGTTGGATTTGTTAATCTTGGTGATGAGGTAAATGAAGTCTTCAAGAAGGATGCATCAAGTACAATTGCGACACATGCCCTTGTGTTTATGGTTTGTGGTATTGCAACCAGGCTCAAATTTTCACTTGGCTACTTTGCCACTACTACTGCAAATTCAGGAATGCTGTTCCCTTTAACATGGAGAGCTATAAGCTTATGCGAGGGATATGCAGGGCTGAAAGTGATTGCCATTGTGTCTGATAAAGCAAGCAGTAACCAGAAGCTTTACAGAATGATGAGCACTCAGGGTAGCATTATTTACAAGGCAGTAAATGTTTTTTCAAAGGAACAAAACCGTCCTATTTTCTTATTTTCTGACCCACCACACCTAATCAAAACAATACGCAATAATCTTGCAAATTCAGGACACGGGAAAAAAAGGCTTCTTTGGAACAATGATGAGATGACATGGGACCATTTGATCTCATTGTATGAGGCAGATCGATTGAGTGAGGTCAGGAAGCTACCCAAAATCAAGAACGAGCATGTATATTTGACACCTTATTCAAGAATGCGTGTCAACTTAGCAGCGCAAGTCATGAGCGAGACAGTAGGTAAGGTGATGTTGGCTTATGCTACACCAAAGGCAAAAGAAACTGCCAAGCTGATATTACTTGTAGATAAATTCTTTGATTGCTGCAATACGCGGTCATTAAATGAAGGTGTACAGAAACGAAAGCCCTTTTTGAAGCCATATACAAGTGTGGACGATGAACGGTTCAAATTCATCAAAGAGGAATTCCTAAAATATTTGGCTGATTGGAAGGATGTCATAGAAAACCGCAAAGGGAATTTCAAGTCAGCAGACAGAGAAAAGATGTTCCTAACCAAAGCAACCTATGAAGGTTTGCAAACCACAGCTCATGCGTTGATTGAATGTGTCCAGTATCTGCTCCAAAATGGCTTCAAGTATAGTCCTTACGAACAAACTTAGCCAGGATCCCCTTGAAGACCATTTTGGACAACATAGAGGCTTAGGAAGACGGTCTTGCAATCCTACTATCCATGCACTGGGTCATCAGGAGAACAAGTTGAGGGTGCAAAGATCTATTGCCACAAGTATAACCCCTAAAGGAAACACTAAAGGCTCAAAGCGCCCAAAAGAGGGAATAACAATAACTACAAGTCCATTAAAAAGAAGTAAGAAATAAAGTTATTAGGATACAGACACATCACTTAGGTTGCAGAGAGTTCCCTTTGTTTGGACCTCTGTTATAGTTTTTGTTCTAAGTTTCTGTAGTTTTTATAATTGATTGAAGATTTTCTCCAAGTATGCCCTAGATTGTTCATAGTTATTTGATGAAGGACACATTAACTTTTGGTTTTAGCCCCATTTATAACTGTGTTGAGAGCATTTTTAAAGATTTTCTTACTGAGAAAAGTTTTAATGAATCAAAAGCATAAATGTTTTATAAAACGTTTTTGGGCAACATGTCAAATTTGAGTTCATCAACAGGGCGATTGGCCATTCTGGATTTTCCAGTACTTTGCCAGCTGAATGCTGAACCCCTTTAGGTCTAGGTTATACATGGGAATAGGCTTAAAGGACATTATTGCCATTGGGCTAGCATATCCAAATGTAGCATTTTAAAGCTTTAACATTTTGCCTATCTTTAATTAAAATTGTCTGTTGTTACTCCATTAAAGAATGAAGTAGTGCACATGCAATCTTAACCTAGAACATGCAGAAAAGACCATGTAACACGCATATATTACAGCATTATTAACAGTGAAAGCAGTGGATATACTATAGACACTATATTTATTTATTTGAGTGAAGTAATCACTTTTTCTGGGCTTAGAATAAATTGGGATTTTAGTAGAATATGTGTAGCTTATTTCAACTTCTCCCCCTATTTTTCCACTGGAAGGTCCAACAAAAGTAGCTTTTTTAATCAAAAGTGCCCATTTAACTCCACTGCTCTGATTAAAAGTATTGTACCCTTATTAGAACCCTTATTCAGGTGACCTCAAGTTGTTGCGTTGAATTTTGTTGTCCCCTTGCCTCTATTTTGATCATTTTGTTTATTTCAAGCCTGTAAGGAATTTAAGGATTGTTTTTAAATAAAAATTGTTCTGTTCTCAGTCATATTAAAAAATCAGCAAAAATAATTTTTTTAAAATCTTCTGTCATGTGATTGAGAGAAAAACAATTGTTCAGTTAGTTCAATAAGTTCAGTTTAGCACAAATACATCTAATTGTTATCCATTTATAGTCTGGGCCTAGAATGCTAGTTTGGGGATATGGGTGGATATTTGGGTACATCAGTACAACAATACATCATAGGGAACTTGTCCTGAGCTCTATTGAAGCATATTTGTAAGAAAATAAAAAAATTAAACATTAGAACATTTGGGGCAAAGCATGTTTTTTGGCATGAGGCTATGGTTGTGGTTGAGGCTATTTCAGGGTATGCTGGTGAACAGAGAACAAGAAATTTGAAGCAAAAAAGTTACAAATTCTATTTTTGGGAAATGATCTTATCCTGTAAAATAATTCTAAAAAGGATCTTATCATCTCCAAAACAACTTAACAAATTACAACTTTTTGTCCTTTGAAACAGATTTTAACTTTTTTCTCAAAGCCTTTTCTTTTTTCTGTTTCCTTGATGTTGACTTATAGTTCTCAATCAAATGTTTTGCATGGGCATGGGCTCTCAACTTCACATATATTTTGATGCTGTCTTTTAATATGACTTTCTGCATGTTTTCAGGTACATTTTTTGAACTGAATATTGATTTTGTTCTTATACTGTAGTTTCCATTTGCTTCCTGACTGAAGAATTGGGATACAATGGCTGCCACATTATTTTTTTTAACACCACCAGAAACGGAATCTTGAAATAACTTTTCTGCTCTGTGAAAAAGGTCAGCAAATGAAGCTTTCGGATAAACAAGCCCTCCACGGTCAAGAGTTTCTATCAGTTTTCCAGTGTAAACTCCAGTAGAGTGACTACTCTTGCAGCAATTTAAAGCTTCAATTCTCTTTTTGAGTGCCAATTCTGCATTTTCATTTATTCGTGGCTTCTGCAAATTGTCATAGGCCTTTTTAATTGACTTGGACAAAACTGCTCCACAGATATATGTGACAGTCTCTTTTTCTTGCTCCTTCAGTCGTGCTTCGGAGGCTACGAAAGAAACTTGAACTGAAGCATTAAAATTATATTTTGACACTTCTTCTTGGCAATATAACAACAGCCAGGAACAAAAGTATTTAGGTACATCGAGACATTCAATCAGCTTGTCAGTAACATTTGCGTTTATCCAAACCTTGCTGAAACGAGTCCACATAATCTCCATTGAAAAAGATTTCATGTCTACGGTCTGTGCAAGGACTTCATCAAGGAAAGATAGTTCTGGTATTCTTTCAAAGTTGATTTTTGATAAACGTCCTATCACATTAGCAAACATCTCACACAACATTTCATTTTTCTGCATTACTTCAAGTGCATTCCTGAGCATCACGCGGACATCAACGTGAAATTTTGGCTTACTTGTTCCCCCGATACGCGCATCAGATTCGGTATTGCCCTTCTTCGCTTTTCTCCGCCGTTTTTTGATATCATTTTCCTCAATAAGCAGCTCAATCCTGTCTTCATTGCAAAATGCTGTCGTTGTCACCTGTAGATGAAAGCGAATCAAAAATCAGTAATGAGTGAAGGTGTAGGCTTGGGCCTATTTCTAATGATAAGAGATCAAGTGAATGCAAGATTAAAATTCAACAAAATTCAAAAATAAAACAGACCCTTACCTCTGCCGAATCTTCAAGCATTTCTTCGTCTATATCAGGACCAAAATAATCAAATTCCATCTTTTCTACCACAATCAACTGCGACCTTCGCTTTTCTTCCAAAAAATATGCTGAACCGGAAATGAGGATACCCTACAACTTTTTCGATAACACTGTTGTGAAGATGAGAATAATCGCCTTTTGTTCTCAGCTCAGTGTCCTATCCAGTCTCCCTTCCACGATCTTTGATTGGACTTCAAATGTGTCTATTTGTAGACAAAATTAAATACTGTTGTTATAAGTCATCAAGCATAAACTTGTATCTTCATATTTGTGTGATGAATAACCTGACATCAATTTCAACTTTGAATTAAACTGATGTACATTTTCACCCTCTTTATTTTATTTCCTGTATAGTCAAATGAATGCAAAGGTAGTTCCAATATGGAGTTGCTTGGTGCTAAGCGATGTTTTGGATACCTAAATGATGCCGGGATAGAGGTCTCCAATTTTATATCAGACAGACACTGAGTGGCCAAATGGATAAGGGAGTCTTTACCACATGTCTATCATTATTATGATATTTTGCATGTTGCACGTACCTTAACCAAGAAGGTAACAATAGCTAGCAAGGAGAGAAATTGTGAGATATTGGGTACCTGGTGTTCAGCAATCCGCAACCACCTCTACTGGTGTGCAACATCGACAAAGGAAGGTTTTGGGAAACTCATTGTGGCAAAATGGAAGGCTTTCTCAAATCACATCCAGAACAAGCACAACAACCACGAAGACAAACTGTTTCAGAGGTGTGCACATGGAGAACTAGATCATAAACGTAGATGGATTCTCAATGGTTTGTATCATTTTGTCAAATCACTGCATTTTATACAAAATGTAGCCCCTTTCATAATTTAATGGTTTTTTTAAAGAGAGGCAAACACCCTTCATTAAAGATTCTAAATGGTCTTGCATCAATTTTGAAACCTAAGAAAATAAACAATTGTGCTGATTGTTAAACTTCCCATATACTTCTCCTTAACAGCTAACATAAAATAATAGTATTAAATATATGTAATTCAACAGGAACTACTGCATATGACAAGATTCAGCCAATTCTAATGAATCAAAGCCTTCTACAAGACATTGCGAAATTGTCATCAAATGCACAAACCAGCTGTCTTGAGGGTTACCACTCTACACTGAACCAATGGCACCCAAAAATGACACATTACTCCTGGATTGGCTCTCTGTGCAGGTACTTATGACTAGAGATACCAATCATTAATTAAAAATTACTGAGCATTGTGCATTGTATTGTTTTTCACTATACTATCTTTACTACCTGCCTAGCTATCTTTGGAGAAAATTAATTGCTGAGAAAATTTGTCAACACTGAGTAAATAACTGAAATTTAAATTTTGGATATTGTTGCTTCCTGTAAATTGTACTTCTAGAGAGTTTAAAGTGCAACAATGGCCGGAAACAATTTTTTCAGGTTTAATTAATTTTGAAGTGCTTTTTTCGAAAATTAAATTATTTTCTCAATTTTTTGCACCACTTTTGTGGAAAATGACTGGAACGATGTGTTGTGGCGGGATGTTCCAATGTCAAAGACTTGGATAAAGGAATTTCGTTGCATCGTATTCCATTTTTTAACGATGAGCGACCAGAAGCAAAGAAAAGGTGACAAAAATGGGTAGGTTTTGTACAGAAAAGGGGTGCCAAGTAGGCAGCAACAAAGTCGTCGCTGATCTGTTCAGCTCACTTCCTTCCCGGCGATTTTGTTAATCGGTTTGCTGTTTTGCCTGGAACGAGCCTGAACATCAAAAGACGTTTGGTAGAAGATGATTTTGGAATCGTTTCCGTGCCATCAGTTTACCCAGAAGAGACAGCAGCAAACATGGCTTCGAAGCGTGACCGTAGAATGGTGCATATGTAGTGTTTTCTTAGGCCCATTTTCCTCTATTATGTTCAGCAATATAAAACCGCAAAACCCAGTAAATGGTTATATTAGTAAGGAATATGAAATAAATTTCAATTATAATCAAGTTTATCTGGAACATTTAACGTTTTTGCAAAGAAAAATAACAATCCTGGCCAGGAATTGGTCAGATAGGCCTACTTCGTAAGGATAATCATGGCATGTTCTTGGTGCAAAGATAAAGGCAATTTTCACTATTTTACCTTCCAGCAGGCAATTTTACTGACTGACAAATTAACTTTGGGAGGCCCTCTATACACCTCTGGCAAAAACACATATATGGAGATAATTTACTAGTTCTTTTGACTTTAATTTGTAAACTTATTTTCTAGTTGGTTAAGTCTGTTCTAATTAGAGAAGAGGTTGAAAGAGATGCAGAAGATGAGGACAGTCCACAAGCAGCCAGTGAATCTGATCAGGATGTGCAGCTTTCAGATGAGTCAGCTGTTCAAAAGGTAATGTTGGCTGGCTATCAAGGATGCATAGGGATATATTTAGTATGAATTAACAAGTTATAATTATATTTGAAATTATCACATAAAAATATCACATAAACTTTTCCTAAAGAAGCGGGAATTTTTATTTAAATTTGCTGCACCCTTGAATCTATCCCAATTTACATTATTTGATCAATTTTAACTGGATGTGTCAGTTTTTGCTGAAAATTCTGTTAAGTAGAGTTTGCAAGCAAGTCTCTGCAGATATATTATAAGCACATTGTCTCCATAGCAACGCGATTTTGGGTGTCAAGCTGAATCTCCTTGCACATCATGTACAAAGCTGAAATCAGTGGAGAATAAATTGACGCTATGGAAGAGAAAGTGGAGGCTGCTGCAGTGGAGACTGAGGTATCAAAAGAGCAAGCAAGCATTAAAAGCCAATCCGCCAAAGATTGTTTCTGCCACTAAGGAGATTGAGGAAGAAGATTTGGACACTGAAGATGACATACATTTCTTTGAAACTGAGGATGAAAATGATGAGGAATATGTCATAGATAATGAAACCAGGTATGCATTCTTCCTATTTTGATAAAGCATTTGAGCTATTTTGATCTATTGCTAACAAGTATTCTCAAAAATCGAGAACCATATTATTAACACTGTACTAAAAAATGTATGGAACATCAGTATGTAGCAGTCTGCCTACAGTCATTTATCTAATTATATTTTATCTCTTTTTCAGCCCTGATATTGACATAGAAGATGGTAGAAATCTACGAGAGCAATCAAAGTTCATTGTTTTTCTTTCAAATCTCCTGCTTTTGTTTACTTTCTGCCCTGCATGCAAAGCAGACGATCCGCTCATTGAAACAAGGCAAAATGGGACAATGGTGGAAGTGAAAACAATCTGCGGAAACAGTAGGTGCAATAAAAGAGAAAATGTCTGGAAAAGTCAGCCCTTTTTTGAAAAAACAAAACTGCCTGCTGCCAATCTTTTGTTGACCTTTGCAGTAGTGACAGCTGGAGCAACATGGGCAAAAATTGAGAGAGTGTTTCGCCATATGGGAATGGCTCGTATTTCAACGTCAGTATTGTAGGACAAGTGGCTTGGGGGGTTTAATTTCTGATCGTTTTCTGAATGTGAAACCTGTTACAATGTATGTACTTGAAACCACTCTTTTTTCAAAAAAATCATAGGTGTAGTAAAGTGAAAAAAATTGCAGGACAAGGAAAGGAACAAAACTACTGAAAAGTTTCAAATTAGGAGAAATTACTTATGCAATATTAGCTTTCAAATTCTTCAAAAATTTAGTTTTCAAATGACTGTAATCAATTTTCATAGAAAATTTTATTGCTAAAGAGTTACAATAAATAAAAAAACGAAATCCCTATTATTTCTTGTCACTCGGCTGGTAGATCTTCGAATCCTGTGTATTCTTCATCTGTGTTGAATACATTTCTTATGGAGAAATACGCACAAGCTGGCAAAGGTGTTCTTTTGCTCCCAATTACCCCCATGCACTAGTCGCGTAAATTCACGATATGCCACAGCACGTAGAAAGCTAGAAAATGAAAAAATTCAAACTTTTAATTTATATTTAATGTGCAAAAAAGAAAAGCTTTGGAACAATATATCAATTAGGATAGATATATGTTATCAATGTAGACAAATAACTATGTAATCCTTACGCTTTGTTTGACCGCAGCTGCAAATATTGCCTTTTTTGCCTGGTTTTGTACCTGGTGGAAGCAAGCCTGAGGGACCACTTTGACAGACAACATGCTGCAAATCCACGGTGTAATGTGATGCAACTAGGAGGGCTACCAACCTCTGCTTGGACCAAGTCATCCTCCAAAGTATTAGTGCATTCTGGTATTTCTTTGCAGCAGTAACACTCCATTGGATTTTTAAGGAGGCTAACATCACAGAGCCCACATTTGCATCTATTATGTTTTAATAAAGATTTATTAAACCCATTGTTTCAGTGTTTATATCTATAAATTAAGAATCTATTAAGAATGTAGTAACAAGCTGTATATGACTTAAATTACTTGCTTAAAATAAATCTGATTCGTTTGAGCACTTGGCTCAGTTGAGTGGTGGTTGGTTTTTGAAGCAGCAACTTGGAGCTCGATTCTGACCAAAAGAAGTATTGGCCAGCATGTAGAAAAAATTTTCTCACGTCAGCTTAGTTCTCGTTATTAACAAATATATTTATTTCTATGAACCACTTATATATAAATTAGGCTGGTTCTCCGCAAATTTCCGTCTTTGCAAGTTCATTGTGACAGCATTGAAGCTGTCCTGTCCCTCGCATGTCCTGTCCCTCGCATAGAAATGGGCCTAAGTAAGGCTCCATTAATTTATGTAACTAGATAAACGGATACTTGAAAAAAATTAGGCTGAATATTGCTTACCATTGGTCTAAAGAAATAGCCAATTTCAAGCGCTGTTCGAATTCATGGTACCTCTTCTGATCGGATACCTTTTTAGCTAGATAGTTTCGCAACCATTCTTCGTCAGCTAGTGGTTCATCAGCATACGGCTCAACCCAGTCGGGATCACTGAAATGGTTGGTTTTAGATGTTGTTGTTGGGCCAGAGATGTCCATATATTCGACCTCTTCATCATAATTTGAAAGTGAACTGTTTTCCGAACTCTTCTGTGAGGATTCAGAATCTGAATTTGCCATCCTTGGAAACACTCTGATTGGCGTTTACACTGTAGCACCAGCGGACTATGTGAATGATTGTTAGTTACGCAACTGTTGTTACGCTGTCGCTGTTGTTACACAGAGAAGATACAAGGTGCCCACGAGGTGACAATGAGATTATTTCACAAATGGCTTTACTCTTATAACTGCTAGACACTTCTTCACCGTAAGTCAGCCGCACTATTTCATCTACGCCTGGTCGTGTCAGCCAGTGGTCGTATCGACAACGGTGGCCTAGGCCAAGGTAGGCAACGAAACTATGTTAATCGTAGCAACAAATTGTTTCCAATAATTTCAGAGAATCATCAGTTTAATCGAAAAAAATCCATAGCATACTAATAAGAAAATTTTTCCGAATTCCAATAACTCAAAAATGACGAGTGCAGTTTCCAATAACTCAAAAATGACGAGTGCAGTTGCCTTTCCAGAAACCAGCAATGGGTGTTGTTTTGTGCTACGGAATCAATGAAATTTGGTTCTGTTTTCGACGTCACGAGCCACTACCCAGGCCCCAAGAGACAAGCGCGGTTTTGTGCAAATTTGAGCCACGTTTGGGGGCGATTTTACCCTGTTTCTAAAGGCGTGATGAAATTTTAATGGCCATATTCGCAATGAGCATGTTCTAATTGTACATTAAGCCTATTTTAAGATTTGACCATAGTTGCACTTTAAGAAAGTGCCAACGTGTGCAACAGTATTTGAATGCCATTCCTAGCAAAAACACAGCCTACTTTACATAAATGTATAATTTTTATTTGTATCAGTATCAACAAAATAAAACTAAACTTCATTTGTGAGTCAAACAGAAAATGTATACAAATACCCAACAAAGAACTGTTATATTTTTTCCAAGGCATATAATGGCAGTTTCACATTTTAACGAAAACCTGCACAGGGAAGCACAAAGAGACAAAAATGGAAAGGAATATCTCAAAGTTTCTTATCCTAAATATAAACTTGGCGAAGAAGCAGTAAAACCTGTTCCAGTCCCTCCATCTTACAGTGAGAAGACAGCATACAACATATAATCTACATAATCTTGCCATATAAAGAAAATCAATTCATATTTTGCCCTAAGAAATGGGAGATGAGAAATGCTATTGTATTTTTCAAGAACTGATATTAGTTTAAATATATTAGATAAAATATTAGTTTTATACATTTTTACAGAAATTATTTCAGATTATGTTTAATATCCAAAATAATTGCTTTTATATTTTCAAAAAAAATATTTCAGATTACGTTGAGCATACAAAAGAACTTTTATTTAAATCAAACGAAGAAGAACTTGGCCAGATTTGGAAAAAGTATGCTGATAAGATGCCTGCATCCTTGGTGAGCAGATTTGAAAGAACAAAAAGTAAGAAAGAGGCTGTAAAAGAATATAAAAAAAGGAGAACACTATTTCAACCATTATACCCTTCAGGTAATATACTTAATTGGCCAGAAAATAACGTTTTATTTGCCTTTTCATTTAAAGTTGATGCAAAGAATTTATGCAAAGACTTTATGCAAAGAATGACTTAAAGAATTATATACACTTGCATGAAATTAAATATAACAAAAGCTAATTGTATAAAGATAATCTATGTTATTAGTTACGTTCTTCTGCATTTTATATCCAATCTTCTGGCTTTTCACGGACGTTATGATAAATGCATGCAGGCAGAGGCCGTGTATTGTCCCATCCCATGTATCCAAATATCCAGCGTGCTAACCAGCGATAAGAAACTGCACGAAGATACCTAATACAGAAAAAAATACCAATAATATATATATATATGTGTATATATATATATCATATATAAATTTATGTACTATATTTAGATATGTGTATATATATTCAGATATTTAGATATATATATATGTTCAGTAAATGAACTTCAAATTAGAGATGTCTACAGTAAATTAACATAGAACTCACATAGATTTTAAATAGGCTGATGATTCCTCGTTAAAATGACGAAACACGTTCCAGAAAAATAATAAATTGTCTTTTGCCATGGTCTTTCTAAAACATTTTTCTTTATAACGTTTTTGTTTTTTGTGAAACAAAAGTTTAGTTATTATATATATATATTTATGCAATTTATGTAGTATCAGTATAAAATGCTGGTTAATTAGTATAAATATTAGCATACTAGTATAAACTATGTTATATATGTACACATACTTCTTTCATTAAAAGAGATCAATTATGAATCAACAAAAAGGATCAAATTTGATGTCTATCTATTTCAGCCTAAACTTGACAATAAAACTTTGTACATACTCATTTTCTGTTACATTTGCCCTTTTCTTGTAGGGCTTTCCATCCTTTTTCCAAAGCAATGGACCAACGTTTCTAAGGACATTTAAATTTGTAAAAGCCCTGTAGTCTTCATGAAGGGTCACACACTTTATTTACCGTTAAAACGACTGGCGGTTAAAAACGACTTTTCCATAAGCAGGTGCCACTTCATGGCAGCAACGGTACTCTCTGGCACTTTCCAAGTTCGCTGCTGAGCATTTGCTGCACACACACCTAAAAAAGAGCTGCAGTTGTATCGTTGTACCGACATGAAAGGTTGGATAATTTGAACTATTTAAAAAACAGCGAAAACAAAAACCACTCACCATTGATCTACACTTAGGTTCCCCGTCAGTCTTTTGCGAAAAGTTTCTGGAGATATCCCATCTTCATCCTTCGGTTGTTCTCCGTCATTAGGCCTAGGCCCATCATCGCCTTCGTTGTCCGTACTAGCCAAAGGCTTGTTTAAGTAGGGCAGATAATCTCCGCCATAAGCTCCATATAGTTCTTCATCACTTGCAGAATGCTTTGATGCCACAGAAGAGCCTGATTCGCTTGTAGACATAATTATAAATTGTGCCTTCACGTTAATCGATACACCGTACTTGCTTTCAAACCTTTACCCTCGAGAATATGTCCAACACCTGACGTCACGTCCGGGCGTACGTCCTCAAAACCCGACCCAGTCCTCTGGGACATGAATTTCACAAAATTTCATGGCTAAATCCCTTAATTTCAGGAAATCTATAATGAATTAGCATTTTTCGATTTAATTTTTGAAATCAGCATCAAGGATTTGATCTTTAATAGAATTTTGCATTTTCGTGTCATATCCTCTTTAAGAGAATATTCTCCTGTGTGACCAGCATAAAAACAAAACCTCGCAACAGAATGAGCACTGTTACGCTAGAAGCAATCATACGCATACGTACACATTTAAGGCCCAGTTTACACGGTACCGTTTTCATTTGATATCGGATTCGGTTTCCCAATCCAATATGCAATTTCTCCTTGTTTACACGATACCGTTTTCATATCATATCGGATTGGGGCTCTGTCTACATGAATACGTTTTGGGTGGGTGCTGCGGGAATTTCGCCTTTGTTCTACATTCTCTGCGCAGTAGCATTTTGTTATTTTGCCAAGGAAGCCATCTAGGCATCAAATCCGAAGCTTTCAGGGAACAAGAACTTTGCGAAATTTTAACTAAACTAACTCAGTATGGGGAAAGAGAAAACCAGAGAAGATATTTTTACATGGACTGATCAGGAAATCGAACTGTTACTGGAAACAGTAAAGGCTTATTCTTCGCAATGCTCATACGAAGGAAAGGATTGGGAAAGCATCAAATCAAAATATGACAAGATAAAAGAATTGTTTATCGAAAGGTACCCAAAAGAATCAGAGGAAGAATCCTCATGTTGGTTGTTTGCAATGTAAAAGTTCGTTCGTGGAAATCTCAAATTTTTCTTCCATTCATTATCCATGGATATCCCATTCAACAGGTTTAGCCACCAAACATTCGCCCTTCCTGGATTCTCCCAAAACCTTCTATTTGCTCTTTTTTTTCTAACTTTACTAACTGCAGGCCTAGACGACAGTGAAATCATTCTCCATAAACTTTTTCTTCTGGCAATATAGCACATGTATAAATTGTTAAACATCTGGACATTCAAGGCCATAGCATTCGCGATACTTATGATTATAGTCATGAGAGAGCTGATTGTCTGGTTGTAGGCGTTCATCAAATATTTTGTTTTTCAAAAAGGCGCCAAATGTGCAAATGAACACAAGACTGTTTCTGATAATGAGGCATCGTTTTCATGTCATATCAGATTCAGCTGTTTACACGAGAACAGAGGCATATCGGATTCATTTGAAAACGCATTCAGATCGTTTTCATTTGAAAACGCAAAAACGTTATGAAGCATATCGGATTCATTCGTTTTCGTGTTAATGAAGGCCAAACCGATATCAAATGAAACCGATATCAAATGAAAACGGTATCGTGTAAACGGGGCCTAAGTTTCAAGAATAAATGTTGTAAAGACTTTGTGCCAAGTACCAAAATGCTGTCACTGTTTAACACAGATAACCTTCATCAAACTGTTAGAGCTAATGAAGCCGCTAACGATGAATTGAATTTGTCATATGTGTGAACACGTATTATTAGCAAACACTTAGGCAAAATGTAGCATGTATATATTTCTTGCATTTATACTGTTCGTTGTTACGCCGGTAGTTAACGTTCGTTGTCTTTTATTATTGTGCATGTGTGTTGAGACGTCACAAGGCAGAAAGCTGATTTGGCCTTTTTTGACCTCGTTTGTCCATTTTTTGCATGGGCATTGGCCTGTTCTTACCCTGACCACCTGGCAACCCTGCATTTTTGGCCTTGGTAAGTTTGCGGCAGCTATCATCAGCTGTCCACAGGGTCAGTAGGTAAGGGGAGGGTGATACCAGCACAGTTGACACTGCATAGCAGGATGACACACAAGAGGGGGAGGATGTCGTGTAGGATGAATAGATGTTTTTTGAGAGTAAAGGGTTTTTGAGATATTGTGTGTTCTACGCATGCGCAGTAGATCTTTAGGTTTAACATAAAAAAGGTAACATTTCTGAAATAGATATTTACTTCATGAATCTTTTAAGTAAAATAAAACCAACATGGCTAAGTATAGCAACCACAATTGAATTACTAACAGAAATTAGTAGAATAAGTTTAAAAAGCTGCAGCGTTTAAAGAGGATGAAACTATGCTCACAGAAATATCAGGAATTGATCTAATTGCCAAAGAATGCAAAATTCACACAAAATGCTACAATAAGTACACAGTCATTTGTAGTAAGCAATCGGCTTTCCTGGCTTCTACCGCTGTACATGATGCCACTGAAGAAGTACTTGAAGTAAGCAGAGAACAGCGTACAACTGACTTTATTTCTGCCTGTTCTTATATAAGAAGTCATGTAATAGGTGTAAACCAATGCGTCTCAACGAAGGTTTTAACTGAAATGTATGGTTTCAACAAGGAGGACAGCAGACTATGTTCTAAAGTTAAAAAGAGGTTAGAAGCTGAGTTCAGTGATAGCATCCTCTTCCTCACCATGTCTCCCTCTGAAGCTCAGATCGTTATAAGTAGGAAAGCACTTATAAATACAACAGTTACCTGCCTTATGAAGGACAGGAAAATATTTCCTTCTTTATTTCCTTATGAAGGACAGGAAATAATAAATTACGAAGACAGACGCACAGCTCTTGCGAAGTGACATTGTTGGTATAATAAAGCAAGCTCCGGACTTACCTAGGCCTCCAACGGCTGAAACACTTGCCTGGAAAGAAAGGCAGCCTCCTGACAGTGTAGAGAAATTTTCTTACAAATGTACTTCTTGCTACCCATCATACACCCAGCAAATGTTCAGAGAGAGTCATCGATGTCAAAAAAGAAAATTCCCAAGGCGGTCTTCATACCACGCGTGGTATTGCATAACAAGAAGAATCAAAGGTGAGTATTGAACTGGAAGTCATAGCTGATATTCCCAAGTCAGGTAGATGTGCTGTTTCCTTTCAACCAATCAATTTACCTCAGAGGAAAATCGTGCCTCACAAGAACCCTGTCCCCTTTGGTGATATTTCTGAAGAGCGACAAAATGCAGATCAGTCTCGTACAAATACTCTCTTCTGGCTATGGAGATTGATGAGGAAAGTTTTAAGTATGCCAACACAAACAGCGTCTCGATTTGTTGGTTGGGTGATAAAGGCACAAGGCACACCAAACTCAAAGTGCACAAGAATAACTTTCCTGCCACCAATTAGAAATCCGATCACCGAATACAGCACCTTCATTGAGTGCATCAAGCAGTCACAAAGATTAGCTTTATGTTCCCACATGACTTACGCCCACAAAACCGTTATGCAGGAGCTGCCCAAAAGTTTTACCATGCTGTATGAAATTTTTTTGGCAATTTAATCCCAGGCCAGTTTGAAATATGGTCATTGAGAATTGCAGATGAATGTGCCAAAGGCAGACAAGTAATCATGGTTCAAATTGGTTTTTTTAAATGAGGACCATCAAGCACATGAGCAAAGAGAAGGAAAAACAATGACAGAAGCATTTTAGAATTCACACTTTTTACAAAGATTTTGCATTATGGTATTTTGTGTAGTGTCAACTTGCGTATAGAAAGCGTTGTTTACTCTAAGGTTTCTAATAAACCGGGAATTCCAAACACTTTGTGTAACATCAACCTTGGCGTTTAGATTGAAAACTTTCTCAATAGAATAGAAAGTGTATAAAACATTCATTTGGCAAAAAAATTTTTTCTCAAAGAAATAAAAATTCATCAACCATCTCTTATAACTTAAAGTTTCATTTATGGGGGGAAAAGGGTGTTTGTTGAAATGAAAATGAATAAAATTGATAAGTGTCCCCCGTTTGTTAGAAACCTAAGAGTATTTTACATAAAAATTTTACTTTTTATTTAAAATTCATCATCGCACAAAATAACTTATAACTGCATGAATGTGTCATCATTGAACATTAGAATAAAGACTGCTGTTTAGCAGTTATTACGCAGAGTTTATCAATCATGTACTTTGATAAAAGTGATGTGGATTGCAAATCTCACCATCCTCCTTTACTGGCTCACTTTCCATATCAGCATCGATGTGCTCCCCAACACCACTGTTATCACCCTCACATTCTTCATCACTGGTGACCTCTGCTTGTTCCATTGGTAGATCTAATATAGGAAAGGAAATACATGGTAGAAACCATGAATTTATAAAGAGATTTGAATCAAATAGAATTTTTGCTTTTGTTGACAAGCTTTTTATACGGATAGGACAAAAGACATCCAGCCCACTATTGAAAACAGGTTTCCTGAATCCCTTTTGCCTCCTGGAGTCTACTTTTTATATATTTATATTCGTATAGATATACAGGACCAAACAAATTTATTTGCAATATCCAGAATAATGTGTGAGAAAAATATGCGTTGACAACCTTTACTTGTGAAAAACATATTTCAGACAAGTAATAAAAACAGATTAAGTCTCTGATTCATCAACTGCACCGAGAAAGAATTGATGAGAATATCACGCAATTTTCGTATGTGGAGAATGGCTTGTTTGTCGATAAAATTCTTTTTTATTGCAGCGCTCTTTATTGCAATGGGGTTCTTCAATTGACAACTTTTGACAACAGCATTTAAGCAATCTGGCCCGCAGAGATAATTCAAGGAGCATCGTGAAGGTGCTGCAAACACGTATTTATTTTCATTTGGAACACCAACGGCATCTCTCGTTTTGACTAATGCTTTCATTGCATTGACAATTTCGGCGGTCAATAATATTGGTACCTTCCTTGACCATTTTCCTCTGACATACACCAAATCCATTCTGAAAAATGATATCAAATTTTTAATACTAACATCTTATAAAAAACG